CTAGAAAGCCCATACTTTCAATTATTCGTTCATTAGGGACCAGGTATCGCACAGGAATTGCACTCGGCCGATAGTGAACCCATGGACACAAACTCGTCAGTCCTAAACTTACTCCAAGGATGCAGAGTGGTTATTATATGAGAGCTACACCGTGTTAAGCCAGTGACAGTCAGAAATCAGAAGCCTAATGGTGTTCCCCATGGTTCATCGATTGGTGCTTCTGTGTGATCTGTCCTGAACGCAGATTTGCGGAAATACCACTAGACATTAATCAACTTGAAAAATGATTTCAGAAGAGATCAGAATAAATCAAATATAACAATTTATTGTTAGTCAGGTAAAATTGTATCATGCCAATTACATAATGAAAAAATTAGAAGCCAATTTAGAAAGGATAATGCAATTGTGAATCACACTGTAACCGTGTGGCAACCCCGCTCCTGTACATAGACACTGTAGCAAAATGTGAAACAGCCAAGTGTTCCACGCAGGAGATAAACAAATTTAACATAGTCACACATGTAACAGTTATCCTAATTTAACATAAGACACACGGTCTAAAATGCATAGCAAAGCACTCAGGTGTTTTAGAGAATAAACTTAACTAGCCTATGTGCACATTTAGTAGCACAAACAACTATACAGTGTGCTCTATGGGCACAATGTGTTTAACACAATCACATTTTTTAATCATACCTGACAGCAGAGAGACACACAGCAGCGAGAGTTCTGGTGCAGAGCTCCAGAGACTCTCACACACTGCATGGGGGTTTCTGGCTATAGAATCCCAAAGTAGTGTTTTGTCACTTCCCTTATATACCCAAATAAGAAAAACAAAGAAATCTTTAAATCAGTTGTAAAAACATAAAATACCTTTTGGTTTGTTAGGTTCTGTGATCCAGGGTCACACCTGGCTGGAGATAGATAAACATTCTCACAGACCCTAAAGGGGAACACTCCCCCTCCTCAGCAGAACACAATTGTACAAAAGTTTTAAATATTTCTTATAATACAAGTGACTACTGTGAAATTGAGACCATTTTACCAATCGCACAAAGACCTTAGAACGATATCAAACATGAAAGGGAAACAACATATTCACAAGATATAACACGTGGCATATGGATATTCTTGCTTTTGAGGGAGAAGATGGGAGAGTCAGAGGCAGGGAGGGGAGAGGGAGGAAGGGGGTCGTAAATGAGCAAGGGGAGAGGTGTTGTTTGCTCTATTTGGAGATCCGTTCCCCAGATCAGTTTTATTGTTTTATTGCATGGCATCTGTCTTGTGTGAGTTCCTGAGTTTTGGCTTCACAAGGAATTAATTTCATAAGGAAATAATTTCACTCCTTTCAGTAATAATAAGAGACTGAAATCAGAAAACTTGGGCCTACTCCTTGTTGGCGGACAAATGTCTTCATCATCATCTTCGGTGGCGCTGTCAGTTGGAGATTGCACTCTTTCTTCTGTCTGTGTCAAGCATCCAACAGCATTTTACCGGCAAAGCACAGGGACGATGTCCCGAGATATTATCACACATATCATAAAAAGCAAATGACTTTGCAGTCATTCCACTCGTGTTGTTGCAGTCTTTTGTTTTTAGGTAAAAACTTTTCAGACTTTTGAGCTTAGCCGTAACCTGCTTCTTATCTCTCTGCACACCACAAAGTCGAAGTCTCTCAGCAATAGTACAGTACACATTGCTGTCTCTTATAATTTCATCAATCTGCCAGTTAATGCTTACTCTGCTCTTACAAAAAGAAGCTATTTTACTTCTTTGTCGGACCAGTTGTTTCCCCTATTGGTAGACTTTTTTTTTAAATTAACGTTAGCTAAAACAAATGGAGCTAGCTTACTGTAGGCTACTTGTTTTTGGCTCGAACCAAAGACTATAGAATACCCAAGATGTGTCACTCGTATAGTTTTGAATGGGGAAAAACACAAAGCTCAATATGGCCGCTCAATTGCAGGAAGCCCCGCCTTCTGAATGAAAGAACCAATCGCTAATCGGTAAAGTAGGAGCGCCACTGCAGCTGCCGTTAGAAGTCCCGGTTGCTATAGAAACAGTCAGCGTTCTGACGGGTGGATTTAGTGAATTGGGGGCCCCAGGCAAAATATAGGAATGGGGCCCTATACATTTGCACACATTTTCCTAGATCAACCTTGAGGTTCCTTTTTTGTTGTGATGCTTGCTGCTGCACAATGGTGCCCCATAGTTGTGTCCAATGTTTCTACCTTTTTCATGTACATGTTATAATGGCTTTCTTTCATGTTGTAGACCACGAAATAGCAACTGATTTACAGTAGAGATACAGGTTTTTACAAAAGCAAAATAGATTATAAAATGATAAACCTCACAAATGAGCGTTTAAACCAGGGGTGAGTCAGAAGTATACATTATTATATTAATTTAAAACGGGCTTAGCAGGGTGGATTTTCGCATTGGTCTGAACAAAAACTACAGACTGGATTATTGAAAATTAACATTCATTCTCTGCCAGTAGGAGGCGCTTTTGGAACGTCAGAAATTTTATTAACAGCAATTATTATATGATGCAATCAAACTTATAGCAAAATGTGGTAGTTCTGTATGTTGTTTCAGGGTTGGCATCATCTGAGGTCCTCTGAGGGGTTGGCATCATCTCTTCTCAGGTGTTCTGGATCCAGACTGAAGCTTGTGTAAATCCTAGTGACATCCCGTGGCAAAAACAGAGAAACAAATAGAGACATAATTAGCGTAGCTATTAAAAAAGTAATTGCGTATGTGTCCTCTACTTGGTTCCTTCTCATAAATGAGTAAGCGGCTTTTAAAACAATTATAAACATATAATACACACTCTTTCTCAATATTTAATTACAGCTTCAGATGCATGATATTTTCATCTCCTTCAAGCAGGATACACAAAAAGCACGTTCAACTTGGATGGTTGTCGTGGTAATAAACATTATAAACAGCAACCGTTAGCATGTCAGCGCTTAATACGCATCTTCTATATGAATAGCATTTTAGGGGGCCCTTGGCTTTTGGGGGCCCAAGGCGGTCACCTACCTTTGCCTAATGGGTAAGTCCGCCCCTGCGTTCTGAGACGTGCTCTTAGGACTGCGCATGAACACTGGCTGATCTAGCCTGAAAAATACGCTTTTTATAACGCTATTTGAGCAAAAGTAACAACATGGCACAGTTGTTGTCAGATTTCTTTGGTGATTTCAAATATGAAATTTAATCGTAAGCTTAGTGAACAGTTTTGGAGAATTTGATGTTTTCCCATTCAAAGAGATAGGAGTTGCACTTGCATGCCCGAGATGCGTTTCAAAGATGGCCGCCGAATGACATGACTTGTCTTAAAAGGGCTTTGGCTCGAACTGACAGGCGTCCATTGGGTTTTTAAAGCAGGATTACCTTAATGCTGGAAAGACCTTAAGTTATTTTATTTTTTATACTAGCCCATCATGTATCTATCTAACCATCCAAGTGCACATTCGGCATTAAGAACTGTTAAGATTAAAGGGGTCATATGATGCGATATCAATGTTTCCTTTCTCTTTGGAGTGTTACAAGCTCTTGGTGCATAAAGAAGATCTGTAAAATTGCAAAGACTAAAGTCTCAAATCCAAAGAGATATTCTTATTAAAAATTCAGAGTCAACCACGCCTACCTAAAACGTCTCGTTCTAACACGCCCCCACATGTCTACGTCACGATGTGGGAAGATTTGCATAACGCCGCCCAAATGTTCACACAAAGAAAGAAGGCGTAAATTTTATTCTCACTGTAGTATTGTTGTTGCCACCACCGCCATGTCGTGAAGGCACTGTGTTTCATTGTGAAAGCGAAACTACTTTGGTTGGTCTTCCAAAAGAGGATGATATCCACTTTGTCATGCCTAGAGCTGATCCGTGCTGGTCGCTGAGGGAATACAACAACTTTGCGCTATGGATCGCCGGATCGAGTTCAGCCCGGTGCGTCACATGTGGTTGCCGCAAGCCTCCTTCGTCGAATCCACCGGCCGCCCCGTTCTCAAGCCCGCCTGCCCGCCCGCCTCTGCTCTGTCAAGGCCGCGGTGTGTGACGTTGTTTCGTTGTGAAAGAGGACACAACTAGAAATCAGTGGTTAAGTTGTATTTACAACACTGTTCCAGAACAGTTTAACCCAAATATTCAGATGTGTGCAGCGCATTTTATGGAGGACTGTTTCCTGATCCTGGTAGAGTAGACTACAATGCCGGCTGTTCTGACTCTGCAAGACTGCAAGTACATTTTTTATATTTAAAGAATTTGCCACCGATGATTCAAACGCAAGTTTTTTTGGGCAGTGTAAAGCAGCACTTGCAATAATGTACAGCATGTGGAAAATAATGTGTTTTTTAACTTTAAACCGCATAAACACGTTTCATTACACCAAATAATGTTCTTTTTAGCAGCATCATATGACCCCTTTAAAACTGGCAACTCCTGCAGCGAGTCCGTGTCATGACTTATCACAGAGCAAGTGTAAATATCTTTTCTAGTATATATTTACATCTTGTAATGCCACTGTTTTAGGTTTTTTTGTTTGTTTGTTTTTTAAATATAAATTATTTGTAAGAATGTCTGACCGTGTCTACACCGGAGTTGTCGTGCCGCGCCCCGCTGCGCTAAAAGTCTGTCTACACCTGACGAGACAAAGCAACAGTTGCAAATCATCTGAACATGTGTCAGTACAGCTCGTCATAAACAGAACGAGGCATCAGTTTACTGAAGGGGTCGCGCCGCGCCGCATCCAGTGTACACAACATCACTGGGTTCTATTGTCTTTTGTCGGATCGCGCCACTCGCGTCCGGTGTAGACATGGTGTGAGTTGTTTTTAATGGGTTATGTTATAGCCCTGCTTGTTTTTAATGTTTTGTATTGACTGCACGATCATATCATCGTATTATTTACTACCATAAGAGCCACAAAGTAAAGCTTGGCTAACCGCATGAGGCTCGCGAGCCGCGCAATGAGTAAAACTGTCCTATATGATCCTACTACAGCTAAGGCTAAATATACAAATATTAATTTGTTCAGGAAGACGTTGCATGCCGACCTTCCTGGAGCCACAAGAAACGTAACCTAATTAATATTCATGAGCGAAGCTTTCGCCATAGTAGGATTCGAAAGTTTGCCTTCCCCCAACAGCAACACTGTCCTTTAGCGCGAAAAGTGCGGTGCCTTTCCTATCGAGGAAGGCTTGAGCTGGCTACAGCCATTATGGCTGCTGTTAATGCTGCAAATGATGGTAGTTTGCAATCCAATAATGAAAGTTTGTCCTCTGAATATGAGAAAGGTGCAGCCCAAGAGGTAAACATCGATCCAGTGAGCAATGGCAAAGCCAGCAATGCTAAAAACACGGACGGAGAAATGGAATTAAGTCCCAGTGGCCCTATATTGAAAGCCCAGGACCACGCCGAAGTTGTTGCAGCCAATGCTGCAGTTGCACCCGCGAAGATTAAAATAGAACAAGCAGAGGAAGATGAATGTGTAGTTGTACATATAGACGAGATCGAGGAAGAAAATGTGGCTGATATGTCTACCAATAAAGGAGACTCGTCTGAAAGAGATAAAAGTGCCAAAGGTAAGCAACTTTTTTTTTTATTGCTGTTGACAACACCGACCTATCGGTTAGTTCCTAGCCACAAGCTATCTTTTACCTCGAAATAAATAAAGTCACCTAAACATAAATTCACCTCTTCTTACATAGTCTAGGATTCTGTGCGATCATATACACACAAACATAATATTTTATTATAATTGAATTGTGCAAATGAAAGACTTGCAGCTTATTTATTATGGTTTATAATTTGCACGCGTCGTCAGGGAATAGCGAGACGGCAGCAGTTGCTGCATGCCCATGAGGAATTTCTGTTTTAAACATGTCCTTCTTACTGCCTGTCATTATTTCTTAGTATAGAGTTCACTGGTTTTGGCTGGCATGTCACAACAGTAAGGTTTTCGTCTTAGACTAAATAAACTGTTATTTCAAACCAGTTTTGCAGTCATTGTAGTAGATGTTGGTTTTTTGTTCATATAATCAGCTCCACCTTAACTGATATTGCAGTATTGCTATGCTGCCAGCAGATGGTAGGCTTTACTCTTATTTTAAATTGCGCATGTGCGAAATAGAAAAAATAAAAAAGTAGGTGAATGAAATTTTATTTTAAAGCACCATTTTCCAGTGTTTGAATTTCTCTATATAATATGTTTGGGAAATACATTTTAACATTTTGTTAGTGTCATAATATTTTGGATTGTTGGATATTTGGCCATGTGGTCGATATAATTTAAGGTGGAACAAATAATTCGAATAAGACGCTGAATTGTTCTGTCGTTCCCTGGCAACAGAGCTGGAAGCTATATCGAATTCATTTACAGCTGTGCAAAATGTAATCACCTGATCATTCTAACCATCATTCTGATGTAAATATCTGATCATTAGAAAAAATTCTAATTTTTGTTTTGTATTTTCTAATTTTTGTAGTTTTATGAATGTATTTTTGTTATTCTCATTAAGAAGTTTATAAGAAAAATATTGTTTTCCTGTTTCTTTACTCATAATTTGTATAATTATGTCTTTATAATACTTAATTATTTTATATATTTTTTTATAACAAGCAATAATAGAGACCATTAATTTTTGTCTTATTTGTAACCCTAAACCTCTGTACTGTTAAAATTGACCTGAATAAATAAATTATTTCCACTTAAGGATTATTATTATTGTTGTTGTTTTCTTCCTCCATTATTTTTTATTTTATTTGTTGGCTCTATACATTTATTTTTCTCTCTCCTCTGGCAACAGGCGTCACCTTGACCTCCCATTTTCCCCTTTCTATTTTTAGGGGATTGGCCATTTCGCTGTGAGGATTGCAGTGAGGCCTTTGGGAACAAGGAGGACTACCTAGAGCATCGCAGCGAGCATATCCACGATGGTCCCATAGTCTGCCTGGACACAGATTCGCAATGGGATGACCTGCTTATCTCGACTGACGGAGGACGGAGAATGTTGTTCTGTGCTCTTTGCGGTCAAAAGTTTTCAAGCTCGAAAGGCTTTTTCAGCCATCAACTGAAGCACCGCAATCAAGTCATTAAACGGGGGATAGGTGAAGGTGCAGTAAGGCAGAAGCTTTTCAAATGTAAGGATTGCGGTAAAGCTTATTCCACTGTTGGTCAGTGTCTCAACCATCAGCGTTCACATAAACAGGCCTCAAAATCTGTTTTTCATCAGCTCGCTCATCTAAAGAAAAAGTCATTTCGGTGCCCCACCTGTGGACGCTGTTACTCTCGAGCTTCGGCTCTTGACGCGCATCGTCGTTGTCATGAGGTAAAGCTAGTGAAATCCAAAAGCTGTGAAACTGAGAAACTTAATGAAGTTCCAGGTCAAACCGAAGACAGTGGCACAAGCCCTGAACAGAATGAGGAGCTTGAGCAAAAGGTTTTTCAGTGCTTCTGTGGCAAATCTTTTCGCACCATGTGTGGCCTTGGCACGCACCAGAGATTCTCAACCAGCTGTTCAGATGTGAAGGTGAAGGAGGAAATTAAACATCCGTTTGTTTGCTCTGAATGTGACAAGACCTTCGTTAGCTCTGTGGCTCTGTTGTGCCATCAGCGTTGGCATAAAAGACGGGCACAACTTGGCTGCAATGGCCAGCCGTATAAATGTACCGAGTGTGGCAAGGTCTTCACCTCACTTACATTCTACAATAAGCACCAGCGATTGGCGCACAGCGAAGAGCTGCCAGCAAAATCATTCCTTCATCAAGTTATCCAGCTCAAGAAGAAAGCTTTTGAGTGTGAGGAGTGTGGTCGTCGGTTCTCACGAGCATCCGCCTTGCAGTCGCATCAGCTCTGTCATACTGATGTCTTCCGTGACATCATGGAGAAGAAGTCTGAGATGAGCACCGCCACTCAGCCAGTTAAAATATATCAGAATGACAATGCTGACAGTGTTGTTTTTCATTCTCAAGACATATCACATGCTCAAGTTCAAGAGAAAGATTTTAACTATAGTCACACAGCAGAAGAGCATGAGGCCGTAGATGTCGATTATGAAGTTGTCCATATCACAGCTTCAGATGATTATGAGAACAACAGTGGTTTCTCTCAGGATCATAATCCTGATCTTGAGTTAGTGTGTGAATCAGACCACGAGGAAAAAGATGACTTGGGTCAAACTGAATGCACCTCCTCCCTGCAGTCGAATCCAGAAATTGATGTCAAAATTGTACAGATTGATTATGAGCACTTAAATGATGAACCATTAATAAATGCAGAACTAACAAACAAAAGAAATCCTCAAGAGGCAAAGTATAATTGTCCACATTGTGATCGAAAGTTTGTCAAGGCTTTGTCCTTGCGCTGTCATATACTTTGGCACAAAGGGTGCATGGGAAAAAAATCAGATGGGAAGCAGAAGTTTGACGTATTGATACCAACTAAGGGGACACTTTTAACATGTGAGGTTTGTGGCCATGAAAGTGCCTCCAAGAGTGCTCATTACTTTCACATGGGCAAGCATGAGGATAAAGTAGCGTATAAGTCTATTTCGTACCAACTTGCAAATCTGCAGAAGAACAATATTAAATGTGAAGAGTGTGGCAAGTCTTTTTCCCGACTGTCTGCATTGCATTCTCACCAACAGCATCACAATAGTAGAAAAAAGGCCTTCGCTTGCTTGGAGTGTAACAGGAGCTATGCAACCGCAAGTGGTCTGTACAACCACCGGAAGGTTTGCAGTGGCAATGCCAAAGACGAAAAGACAAAGCATTTCAACCCAACCAAGTCACTTTTGGGCCCAAAGGTTCATCACTGTAAAAAGTGTGGTAAAGGTTTTTGGTCTTTGGGAGCTTTCTGTCATCACAAGCAAAACCACTTGGAGTGTGCTGATGTTGAGACGAGGCCTGCGGGTACACCTGACTCTGAGAATGTTCTCATTCGACGCAAGAAAAAGGGTCGTAGAGGTGGTTATAGAAAAGTGCACACTATGAATTCAAAAGAGAAACATAAATGTGAGGTGTGTGGCAAGTCATACCACATGCTGGCTTGTTTTCTTAAACACAAGCTTGTCCATGACCAAGGTGTCCAACCGGCTGTCAAATCTTTTGACTATCAAGTCCAACAGCTGAAAAAGAACTCCTACCAATGTCCCTACTGCGGAAAAGTTTTCTCCCGTGCCATGGCCCTCCAGTTTCACATGAAAAGTCATGGCTTTGAAACTGGCCTTCCTTTGATTGACTCTGACTTGTCTGAGCAACCTCAGTGTCCGACGTGCTATGTTTTTTTTGCATCTGAGTCAATACTACAAAATCATCAGAAGCACTGTTCAAAACCAGAGAACAAAGTGGAATTTCCAGAAGAGTGTGGGAAAGTTGGGATAGAGGAGCAAGATGTATCCTCGCAAAAAGCTGAAGATGTTTGTGACTCTTCTCAGTCTGCTGATTCTGGAAAAGTACAGAAAACATCTTCGACTTCGGATTTGAAATATAAATGTCAGAACTGTAGCCGAAGCTTTTCGGTAATTGGTGCACTTAATTTTCACAAGCGAATTCATCGCAAAGGTCACCAATCTAAAAAGTTGAAATCCCGTTCGGCAAAACAGTTAAAGCCTGGCAAAGTAAAGTCAGATAAGTTTTCGGCAAAATCGTCTTTTGCTTGTGCTGAATGCGGAAGATATTTTAGCTCCAATTCAGCTCTTGGCACACATAGGCGATGGCACAAAGACAAAAAATTTGCCCGATTTCTCTCAAAGACCAATAAGATACGCTCAAGGAAAAGTGTGGATGGTGGACCATATTTATGCAATGTATGCGGGAAAGGATTCTTTTACCTTTGTGTTCTTCGCCGGCATCAGCTATATCACCCTCCCATGGAAGCTCAACACCAAAAAGAGCACGAAGTTGCTGAATCAAATAGTGGTTTTACCTGTCCAGATTGTCAGATGTCTTTCTCAAGTGGGTCTCTTCTAACAACTCACTTTGCAGAACATCACAGCAAGCCTAGTGAGACTGAGAAACTCCAGTCTGAAATCCTCCCTACAGATGAGTTGGGTCCACCCATCAAACAATCGTACACATCCAAAACAAAAGAGAAGACTAAGGTGCAACACCATCAGTGCTCCTACTGCACCAAGAGCTTCTTGAACATACGTGGCCTTCGTGCACACAAATGGCAGAAACACAACAAGGTTAGCGAACATACCACTGCGTCTCTAGAAGAGCGCTTGGCATATGAGAAGCCCTTAGCTTCTCAAGGGATCATTCCTAAAATGTCGACTAAGAAAGAGCTGAAAACTTCTATGGAGGAAGAACCCATACAGCGTAGTCGAAATGTAGAACTCAGGAAATGTTTTTTCAAATGTGATAAATGTGCTAAAGCGTTCCCCAGTGAGGGGCAGTTAAACGCTCACAAAGAGGTTGTGAAGACTCGTCCGCACTGCTGCGCTCTTTGCTGTCGCGGTTACTGGACTGAAAACCAGCTTCAACAGCATCTCGCATGGCACAACGAAGTACGCCGACGTCTCCCAACCGAACTGCGATACAGACTGAGTGCTTCCATGGCACCTGGGTCTTCAGACAACCTGCAGGCTTTATCGCACAGATCCGAGTCTGTAGTCAAGCTGCCTGTAGCCCTTGTAAGTCCACAACTCAATAGCCATAAATGTCTGCACTGCGGAAAAACGTTCTTGTCACCTCGTGCTCTGCAGCAGCACCAGACTCTTCACAAAAATGAGGAGCCCTACCATTGTTCTTTGTGTTCACAGACCTTTACTGAAATCAGAAATCTTATTGACCACCATCAGGAGTGCTTGGGTGATAAAGAGCTAAAAGACAGGTATTCTACACCCGTAGTAAGAGGCGCTCTTCACCTAACTTGCATTGAGTGTGGGATTTCCTTCAAACAGGAAACAGAACTGCATCAGCATTATATTGAGCATGCACGTGGGTTCTAAAATGTGTAAAAATGCATGAGAATGGACATTGGTTTCTGGTACATATTTTACTGCACATACACTGATTTAATTTAGTACTTGATTCAAGTTTGTTACCTGCTGTGAGTGTTAGTGTACAGTAGAAGAACTGTATGTCTTAAAGAGTAAGAAAAATGCCACAAACATTTTTGCTGAAATTGTAGAGAGAAAGATGTCTGCTAAATTGAAAGCATTATCACGGATGTCCTTTAAACCAAATAGTGTGTTCTAATTACTTACATAAAAGTTGCATAATTCTAGTACTCCCTTTAAAATCACTTTAGACCTCTGCGAAGTGTTTGTGTATTTAGGGGTTTTTAAAGATTTCTTTTCTTTCTCTTTTTTTGATTGCTCAGTTTAGTGCCTGTGCTGCTTTCTGTCATCTTGTACTTTGAAAGTGCTGTTAATTTAAACTACAAAGGTGTTTGTTAGATATTTGTTGTACATCTTATTTAAAAAAGTAGCTTTTTTTGGAGGCATTACAGCTTAAATCTTATGTTTGGTCGTGCTAGACATTGATTTGTGATTTGTACAGCATCTGTTCACACCATTGTCATTGTTCCTTTATTGCTATTGATGTCAGCATGGCATAATCCACCCTTCTGTAACATTTAGGTTTTGGTTTTACTTGAAAGATGAAGAAATTTTTTTTTTTTAAGTTATTGAAAAACATTGGGGTTGGGGTTTAATGTGTCTCTCGAAAATGTTGTGACTGTACAGAATATTATTGCCTTGATATAATGCAGTTCCTTGTTTAAATTCCCTCAAGTCATGTTAATGACATTAAGAATGTATGAATAAGATGCAAACTGGTCAGTAGAGGCAGGGTTATTTGTGTAGGCCTGACATGTAGAATCGTAATTAGAATAGCACATCATTTGAACTGAAAAACCCTTAAATTGAACAGTTAATGTTAACATTCCATTTTGTCAAGTCTTGGGTGGCCGGTGATTGTGAAGGTTTATGGTTGGTTTGTTAATAAAAGACCATCCTTTAATTTATTTAAATTGATTCATTTTCAAAAATTGTGAGATTAACCAGGAACATTAAACATTACATGACTTGAATAAGTACAAAATATGCATGCACCCAGATGGAAGAGAAATTCCAAGTAAAAATAATAATAATAATAATAATAATTGTGGACTGAAACTTGTTGATGTATCATCAAACTTTGGACCTCAATATGTTTTTACTTGCACTGAAATTTAAGTTAAACATGGTCATTTGATCTCTCCCAAAATAATATACATGTTGTTTGCTAATAGATACAGTGTGCGCTGAATGTCTTAAACGCTTAGAGTTTTAAGACAATCAGTGTCTCACTAACTGGGAGTTGTTTCATGTTACTCTTGGTATGATTGATTGTACTTTCCCAAACCTGCTTCTGTTTGGTTTTCTAATAATTACAGGTTTCCACTTTAATGCTTACTTATGTTTAAAAAAAAAAACACTGAATGTAGATACTTGAAATAAGAAATTAAATGGTCAATTTCAATGAAAAACTGTCTTTATTATTTTACCTTGTTAGATAGGCGTTGTTCATGTTGCTATAGTCTGTTTATTCTCCCACTCCCTCTTTAAATACAGTGGTGGTACAGAAGCCGTGAGAATAAACCATTTTGGTGGTACAGTATCTCTGAATGGTATGACATATGTTTGCATTTGTCATGCTATTTGCCCTTGAGGTGGCTTTTCCTTTTCCAGTGACATCATTCATAGAGTGCTATTTTTGTCTGAATGATTTCACTGGAAAACGATAATGATAAATATGAACATGAATAGTTTATTTTACCATGAATAAGAGCAGTTTTATGTATGTGTTTTATGTATGTGTATTATTGTGATTCTAAACGCGACCTACCATACAAATCATAAAATTTTTGAGATGCCAAAATATGCTGTTTGCAAGCGGAACACACTGCATGTCATAGTGTATTTGAGAATGTAATATACTCGAATTGACTCATTCTGTTTCTAAAACTACCTTTCATGACTTCACCTAACTGACATTTTTACAATGAAAATTATAAGTATGAGTAATAGTATAAAAATATGCTATGTTCACACACTGATGGTGAGCGACAGTTGTAATAAGAGTACAATAAATCATGAAACACTGAGTGGACAAAATATTGCTGTAGATATTCATTTTATTTTGGTCTGTTATTGATATCAATTTATGTGTTACTGACATGACAATTCATTCTCTTTTCTCTAGTGAAACTCTGCAGCAAGAGCTGTCAGGACTGCAGGCAGCAGTTCACTAACTGGAAGGCCTTCAGAATTCATATTCGTGAACATGTGAATGAGAAGAGAAAAATAAATAGACAGGTGGAATCTGTCACTGATGGAAATGACAGTGGTCTGAGATACTTTACAAAAAAGAAAAAAGTGAAAGAAGAAAAAGAAACTGATGAAGATGAATCTATTGATAGTTCTTGTCAGAGAAAACCATCTGAGATCTTCCCCTCCCATCCTGCTTTTGATATGCTGTTAAAGGAAGAAAAGCCAGTGTTTGTGAAAACAAACAGGGTCTATGCCTGTGCTGTCTGTGGAAAGGTCTATTCCTACTTTGAGTCTTTCAGAAATCACCAGAAACTGCACATAACTAAAGACCAACAGCCTGAAATCCGCTGTGAAAAATGTCAGAAAACATTCAGTCGTCCAGTCTCTCTCACACGTCATCTGAAACTAAGCAAGCAGTGTGTTCCAGAAGAGCCTTCCGACCTTCACTGTGAACGGTGTGATAAATCTTTTACCTCTGCCATGGTATTGGCGAGCCATCAGGAAATGCACAAGCAGAGGCCTTTCTGGTGTGATGTATGCGCTAAAGGTTTCAGAAGTTCAGTAGGATTGGAAAGACACTTGCTTGGTCATGAAAACAAAAAACACATCTGCGATATCTGCCAGAAGTCCTTTCGGGTAGCAGCAGAACTGCGGTACCATTACAACATTCACACTGGTGCCAAGCCTTACACGTGCAATCTTTGCCACAAGAGCTTCTCGCAAATGGGAAATCTAATTACCCATCGGAAAAAACATCTGGAGGTCTTTAAAGAAGGAGAGGATGCTCCCCTCGGGAAAAGGGACGCTGGTTTAAGAGGAAAGAATCGAGTGTCAGTTATGAAGAAAGTTGTTTTAGGAGCAAATTATGTTTTTGGTCAGGAAAAAGTAATGAAGAAGGATCCAAGCGAAAACTGTGAAGAGAAACATGTTGATGTCAATGACGCCACCTTACCTGAGAGCGATTCACCTGACACTAGTGACTCATCAGACATCTCATCAGATGAATCACAAAAATGTTTAAAAGAAGAACAGGAAGAGACTTTGCAAGTTCAGGAAGTTGATGATGACTGGGAGTGTATTGAATGTGGTGCACATTTCACTGGGGAGTCTGAGCTTCACATGCATTATATGAAGCATGCAAGTGGGGAAGTTTGATACACAGTATGCTTATTATTAAACTGGCATTTTGACTTGCTCTTTTTCTCAATAACTGAATGTCTCAATGACCAAAGTCAGCCTAGTTGACACGCAATACTATTAGACTTTAAAATGCATTATATGATTTATTTTGTCTCTGTGAGTTAATTTTTGGAGGCTTGGATTATGTTAATTAAATCACCAGATTGCCTAGTTTGCTTTTGGACACCTTGTACTTCACTGCTTAACATTCAAACGTTGTATTTTAGATACACCTTTATCTGAGAGGCCTTCATTTATTAAGAAATGGAATTTGACGCTAATACCAATCGCTGCTTTAAACTAGCTGTTTATGCCCTTGACATGTTCATGTCAGTTTCTTTCTTGGTTGGTTGAGGTTTGTATATTGTTTGTTACAGAATAAAGTTTATTGCTTTAAAGATTTGAATTGTTACTTGTTGCTGGTTTGACTTGTCAAGCTGTTCTTTGTGTGTGTAGAGTCAATGCATGATCAATACACCATGTGCTATTAAACAGTTAAGTAAACAATAACTGGCTGCCTGTAAGTTGTGCTTTACTAAAAAGTAACAGTTTTTTGTTTTTATTAAAGCTTTGTACTCGTACGTGTACACTACCTTGGATTTATCATGCTCATGGAGAACAGTGTGATAAGAACTGTTGTCCCAGGTGCAATTTTTCTCTTTTGAATCATTTTCCATGATCTTATTGGTTGTTCCGTAGTTATTGTGTGAAACCAATCACTTAAAAACATGAATTCTATTCTTGAACTGTGCAGAAGTTTGCTCTCTAAAGTTTTGTGGATGTGAATACTCCTCTTCACAGCAATGAAGAATATTGTGTTTGCTTTGCTGGTTGTGGCTGTGGGTAAGTAGATCTTTCTTATTAATCATTATGCCAATTGTTAGTTTCCTACGCTGACCTGTAATATTCCTTAGTCTTTAACATGAATAAGAGACATGTTTACCAGATGAAACTGCAAATATTAAAAAGAAACACCAGCTCAAGTAATCAAAGCCAATTACATTGTGATTTCCTTTACTTTATCTGTTATCTTTTACTTTACGGCACTGTTAACAATTAAACATTCATTTTCTGAAGCTTGCAGCACAGATGATAAAATCATTGGAGGTTATGAATGTTCGCCAAACTCCCAGCCTTGGCAAATCTACCTTACTTATGATAATGGGCAACGCTGGTGTGGAGCATCTCTGATTAATGAAAGATGGGTTGTTTCTGCTGCTCACTGCTACGTTTCGTGAGTATATCGTACATTTTATTATTGTAAACCTCATCAAACACCTTTTTAATATTGTGTATTGTGAATGTGTGCACTCAAATTGTTGACTGTAAAATGTAACAGATGCAGGACTTGTAACAACAAAAACATTACACATTTCATTAAAGATAAAAGATGTACTACAGCCCAGTAATGTGTGAGTTCCTTGTCAAATAGAGCTTCTCGTCTTACTGTCCACCTGGGAGAGCACAATGTGTACGATGAAGAAGGCACAGAACAGCGGATAGGGGCAGAGAAAGTGATTCCTCACCCAAAATATAACGATTTTACATATGACAATGATTTCATGCTGATCAAGCTGAAAGAGCCTGCCGTCTTCAACCAGTATGTGCAGCCAATCCCTCTGGCAACCAGCTGCTCTTTTGCTGGGGAGCAGTGCTTGGTTTCTGGATGGGGCAATCAGATCACCACTGGAGGTGAGATAATGGAGGCCGAGTAATGAAAATCTTCTGTGTTATAAAACAGATAGTTCAGTCTTCAGATCTGATTGATTGAGCAGCAAGATGTAATAAATCTCCCCCATATCCTAAAATAGTGTACTATTTGAGGTGGCAGCCATTTGTATGTAAAGGGGGCAATGTCAGATGCAGAGTATGGTTCCATTCAGTCAGAGGATATCAAACATGTTTGAGCCATCTTTAAAACACATTGAATTGGTCATGCATCTCCTAGCAAACAAGACACACATGTCTGTGTAAGTGTTCAGAACAATTTGAAAATCTAGTAGTGTGTGTGAGATCCTCCGTCGTTTTGTATGATGGCTAGAGTTTTAAAATCTGTCCCGATTTTAAGTTGTGTAGTGCATTCTAGCCTGGACTGTTTTTGAGCGAGTCATTTGAACTATTCACTAAACACATTACTTCTAAGACGATTACTTCCTTCAGGAACCAAACACAACTACGGTTTATTGCTCCAATGCTAATTTTGACAGTCACAAAACAGATAATCATTTGGTGGCTGTTTAATACGTTTTCGTTTCAATAAAGCATCTAATATGTACATTTGTCAGTAATGAACTGTTGTATAAAAGCCTTCTTTTACGAGTACCACTGCTTGTATTTAATGTGATGTGCTATTAAAAGATTAATTCAGCAGTTTGGTATGTACAAGGTGCAAAGCTTTAACGTTGTTCATATCCTCTTTTTCCAGTTGACTATGCTGACAAGCTGCAGTGTTTGGATTTGCCTGTGCTGTCAAGGTCACATTGTGAGAGTGCGTATGGATGGCAAATCACTAATAACATGTTCTGTGCTGGATTCATGGAGGGAGGCAAAGACTCATGTCAGGTATGTTATTGACACTGTCGTTGTCTTTATATGTGTTGCATATTCTCATACAAAACCACACTTACCTAATTTTATTTTCCAAACTTTCACAGGGTGATTCTGGCGGCCCTGTAGTGTGTAATGGGGAACTGCGAGGAGTTGTTTCTTGGGGCTATGGCTGTGCTCAACAAGGCTATCCTGGGGTTTATGCTGAGGTGTGCCGCTACGCTGACTGGGTCCAGTCCACCATAGCTAACAATTAACTAGTTGTTCAGCCAAGTTGGACCTTTGTCTGTAATTAAATTCAGCTTGAAATGAATAAAAGTTTTCTATTCTTCGTTTTATATGGATATAGTATTTTAAAAGGTTTTTCTACTCATGCTTGCTCTCAGCACAAATTTCAAGGCACTTGGAGATACACTTTCAGGCTATATTGTAGAGATTCAAGTCCTGTAGCCATTATAAGTCCACAACTTTGTCAGCATAATTGTCAGCACTGTGATAAATCCTTCTTGTCACTGCATTACAGCAGCAACTGAGGGAGTCACATGTCTGTTCTTTGTGTTCACAATCACAGACTTGTGATTTCAGAAATCAGAAAAGACATGATCAGAATCATCAGACATTGGTTGCTCTGTCTCATCAGACTCCACATCAGATTAAGATCAAGAACAGAAACATCATAGATGAGGCATGAGGGGGGGAGGGGGGGTGGTCATTTCACTGGGGAGTCTGAGCTTTATGAATGAGCTTTTGAACAAAACATGCAAGACAGGAAGTTTGATATATGCTTATTTTTAGACATCATGTGCCCAAAATACTACACATTCATTCAACAATAAAACAAACGTGTGTGGGGACTGATTATTGATGTGCAGCAGGCACTCATTTTAGTGGAAAAGAATGGTTTTGATCAAGAAGGAAATAGAAAAAGGATTCAGAGGAAAAGATGATGAGGATGACAACCAAACCTCTTTAAATGACAGAGAATCATCTGACTCTAGTGATTCTGATTCAGATCATTTAGGTGAGGCACATAAAGATAATCTGCGAGACCAGGAAATTCAGATAGACTGGGAGGGTTTTGAATGTGGGAGTATGAGTTTCATATGCATTAAATGAGCCATGCAAGTTATATATACCCTCAGTTTTATATGCTCATCCACACTACTTTTGGACACGGCCACTAAAGTTTCAGATGACTGCGTAAGGTATTAGTTTATTATTATTTAGTAATCATTAATATATGGCACTAACATTATCACTTCTTTAAAAACAATAATGCTGTTCCTGAACTTTGCAGAATCTCTTTCTAAACTTGACTGGATTTGACCTCTCCTCCTCTTCTTCACTGCAATGAGGACCATCGTGTTTGCTTTGCTGGCCGTGGCTGTCGGTATGTAGATCTCTCTTGTTAGTTATTGTCCATGTCAGTTGTTATATAGTGTCTACCTACACAGACCTATAATATTCCTTAGATAGTCTTTAATGTTACTATGATACATACTACAAAATTGTTAACCAATAAATAAACTGTAAACATGACAAACAGAAACATGCACCTTGTGCAAAATTACATTTAATATATATATATATATATATTTTTTTTTTTTTCTGTATTCAATAATTCAATGTTTTTTTTATTCTGAAGCTTGTAGCGCAGGAAAGAAAATTTATGTTAAAGTTATGACTGTCCACCCAACTCCCAGCCCTGGCAAGTCTACATTACTTCTAATGGGCAACCCTGTGGAGGATCTCTGATTAACGAAAGATGGGTTGTATCTGCTGCTCACTGCAAGATGTCGTGAGTATATATCCTCATTTTTATTTATTTATTCATGAAAAGGAAAAATGTATATGATATTGTTTATTCTTGTCTAAATGTGTACTGAAATCGATGGTTGTAAAACTTAACAGTGGCAGGGTTTCAAAATAATTTATTATCTGTAATACTTGACATCATCATAATGTCTTAAGAGATTAGATAAAACCCATTTGAGACTATTCATAGACGTAATATATAGGTAGGCAATATTGCTGTTAAATGTTGTATTACAGCCCAGTAATGCATGAGTTCCTTGTCAAATAGAGCTTCTCATCTTACTGTCCACCTGGGAGAGCACAATGTGTATGTTGAAGAAGGAACAGAGCAGCGGATCGGGGCAGAGAAAGTGATTCCTCACCCAAAATATAATGATTATACTACTGACAATGATTTCATGCTGATCAAGCTGAAAGAGCCTGCCATCTTTAATGAGTATGTAAAGCCAATCCCTCTGGCGACCAAATGCTCTTCTGCTGGGGAGCAATGCTTGGTTTCTGGATGGGGCCGCACTGAAGAAGGTGAGATTTCAAGTAATAAAAATATTTTGTGTTTTTATTTACATTATGTCAGTGCTTAAAGTATTATTTATATCATATATAAAATATAGGAATAAAATACTTAAATTAACAACAAAACAGTAGCTGATTCAGAAGCGCCAGATTGTCATAGCAAAGTCAGAATTACCTCCTCTCCTAGGTTCATGAAACGGTCGTCCATAAAATGCATTGCTGTTCTGTTAAAGATTCCTAAATGCATCTACTTCTGGAAGGCCAAATAAAGTGCTTTTGCTTTCGCCTAGAAACACACAGCGTCTCCCTGACATGCTGAAACAACACTAACTGCGGTTGCTGAAACCACACCTTCTTTCTTTGCGTGCACATTTGGCCGGCATTATGCAAATATTTCCACATAGTGAGGTAGATATGTGGGGGCGTGTTAGAACGAGCCGTTTTAGGGGGGCGTGGCATAGTCTTAACTTTGATAAAGAATATCTCTTTGGTTTTGAGACTTTAGTCTTTGCAACTTCAGAGATCTTATCTATGCACAATCAGCTTGTAACACTCCAAAGAGAAAGGAAAACTTGAAATCGCATCATATGACCCCTTTAATGCAGCCATTTCCAACTGTTGCTTGCTTGAGGGAGTTTCTGCCTTTAGTCTGCTCTTCAGCTGGTGAAATTCATGTTCAGTTTAAATCTGGATTCAGTTCCCTTTTTTACTCCACATTTTTGCTTTCCCATCACTTAGATAAAGGTTCATCTTTGTGTTATCTGTCCATAAAACTCTGTTCCAAACATCTACTGGCTCACCTTTGTGCTTTTTTGCTAACTCTAATCTTGCCTTTCTATTTTTGGTGCTGGTCAGAGGTTTGCATCTGGCTGTGTAGCCTCTGTAGTTCTGTGTCAAAGTCTCCTCCGGACAATAGATTGTCAGAGCATCACCTCAGCTTTCTGGAGCTTGTTGGTGATTTTACAGTCATGTATTTTAGGGTTCATTTTCACAGCTTTTATGATTTGTCTGTCATCAACTATACTATTGTTTTTCTCAGCCGATCAGGTCGTTGTTGGTTGCTGATGTGTTCCAAACTCTTGATTTCTCCATGCCCTTTGTTTTTGCTATAGCTCTAATTGACTTCCTCTTTTCTTTGAGCATCCAAATTGCTTGCTTTTCTCTCAAAGTTATCTCCCTTGTCTTCATCCTGGTTTGTGTGTGTCGTCATCGAATGCAAGACTCATAAAGCAGAAGCAATGGATATAACTGATACGACATATTCCCTGCTTGTAATGTCTGAAGAAGTAATGCAACAGGACACAGCTGATTACTTAGAAAGACCTGTGAGGCAACTGTTCCAATACTTATGCTTACATCAGATAGGGGGATGACACTCTAAAATTGCAGATCTTCTTAGCTGGTAAACGTGTGTTGAATAACCCAATAATAAAATGTGACATCCTGTAGTTTTATCTCATATTAATCTTTTAATAATATTTACAGATTTCTTGACTCCACAGCAAACAGAGCTATTTTGTCTTTACTGTCCCAAAATTTATGGAGGTCTCTCATAGTTGAGGTATACCTATGATGAAAATTACAGGCCTCTCTCATCTTTTTAAGTGGGAGAACTTGCACAATTGGTGGCTGACTAAATACTTTTTTTCCCCACTGTATATTAGTGCTGTCAAACCATAAATTGCGATTAATCGCATCCAAAATAAAAGTTTTTGTTTACATAATATATGTGTTTACTTTATATATTTATTATGTATATATAAATGCACACACATGCATATATTTAAGAAAAAAATTTACATTTATATATTAAATATATTTATATATGATACAATTTATATGAATATAAATATATACATGTAAATATTTTCAAAATATATGCTGTATGTGTGTGTCTTTATATATACATAATAAATATACACAGTACACATATTATGCAAACAAAAACTTTTATTTTGGATGCGATTTATTTGCATCCTCAGATTGAAGATTTTCAAATAGTTGCATCTTGGTTAAATATTGTCCTATCAAACCATACATCAATGGAAAGCTTATTTAAGTGAAAATGAAAGTGAAGTGACATGTAGCCAAGTATGGTGACCCATACTCGGAATTCGTGCTCTGCATTTAACCCATCTAAGTGCACACACACATACTGTGAACACACACCCGGAGCAGTGGGCAGCCATATTGCTGCGGCGCCCGGGGAGCAGTTGGGGGTTCGGTGCCTTGCTCAAGGGTCTCACCTCAGCCGTGGTATTGAAGGTGGAGCAGAGCGCTGTACATTCAGTCCTCTTTTCTTTGAGCATCCAAATTGCTTGCTTTTCTCTCAAAGTTATCTCCCTTGTCTTCATCCTGGTTTGTGTGTGTCATCTTCGAATGCAAGACTCATAAAGCAGAAGCAATGGATATAACTGATACGACATATTCCCTGCTTGTAATGTCTGAAGAAGTAATGCAACAGGACACAGCTGATTACTTAGAAAGACCTGTGAGGCAACTGTCCCAGTACTCATGCTTACATCAGATAGGGTACACAGTCGTGGTATTGAAGGTGGAGCAGAGCGCTGTACATTCAGTCCCCCCCTACAATCCCTGCCGGACCTGAGACTCGAGTTACTTTGGGTTACAAGTCCGACTCTATCCATTTGGCCACGACTGCCCCGTATTTATTCAGCTTATTTATTCATCTTCAGATGATGTATAAATGTCAAATTCAAAAAATGTACCCTTATGACTGGTTTTGTGGTGCTTCCAGTGTATAATGTAACTTTGTGAAAACATGGTTACTTAGTCGGTTGACTGAACAATAAAGACTTTTTTGCGCAAATCATAGCCTACATGTGACCTCAGTGCTTTGTCCTATATAATGCGCTGATATTCACGAAATGAAATAATAACTTACCTCTACAGTTCGCCCCACCAATTTTTGAGGTGCGAATGCGATGCGATCCCTGAAAAGACTAATA